TTCAGTCGTTGTTTGACGGAAAAGTGAGTGGTTAAGCAGTTGGTGATCAGGGTGTGCTACTACTTTGGTTTCTGTTTTTCCAAGGTAGTCTACTCTGTTACCATATATCTCATGCTTCGCTAGTCAACTGTCCAGGTTCTTAGTCAATTTTTTTTCTAATTTTCTTTATAGATGCACCGTAGGGTTATATTTTGGTCATCTGTTCTTCCAGAACGACTGGGTTTCTATAGTACAGCCCCCCTCCCCAAGTTCTTGGTTTCTCCTGTCTACAACTTACATGTCTTGTTATACACCATACGCACACTAACCTTGTGTGTGTTTCCCCATATTGCAGGACACCTTCAGGTCATAGATTGTTTACAATAAACCAGAAACAAAATGCTCCCATTCGCTTACGAGTCCCACTAGCAAACATGGTGCTCCCTTTTCGGCGCATCTACAAAAGCTTTGCAAACGACAGCATTCAGATCCCTTCATATCCCAATAATAGGCGGAATGTAAAACAACTACCGTATTCCACTTTCTTTCCGTTTGATCATCTGTTTGTTTTGAATTTTCTATCCCTACCTCATCAGAAGATTTGTTCTGAGATGTCAAGTTTGTCAGAGACGAAAGTAGTACATGCTGCGGACTAACCCCCGCGCTCGTTACTGAGTGTCCTCTATCGGTCATTACAAGAATTTTTTTCTTTTGATGAATATGCTTCACCTTTTTTTACTCCCACAACACCCTCCGTTCTGTCTACGCAATGCTGGTTGATCAACTGCAGACTGCGGACACAGATTTCGGTTCCACTGCGACCGGAAAAGTCAATCGTGAACGTGCTCACGTTCTGCTTGGCCTATATGATGCGTGTTTGGAATTTGAATTGAAAGCTCCGTTGGAGTCGAGTGGAGCAGGTGGAACGCAAACACCGGCAAATGAGTGAGTCCAATTTAATGCACTGATTAACTAACTGATTACTTATTTACAATTGGTTCAAAATCTTGATGTAAGTGCTTCTGGATGTTTAGTAGACACGTCACTTAGGTCCTACAGGGTCATTCTATTTCTGATAAGATAGTTTCTAGGTTTTTTTTTTCAATTTTTCACCACACGCTATTTTCACTTTTACCTCTATCAAGCTGTTCACAATAAATAAAAGTCCTAATTTATAAGCTACTAAGCTAAGCCCAATCAGAGTAGCTGGGGTCTGAACGTCTGGACTACACAATTCGATTATCAGCATCTTATGCTGGCGTATTTCGGGAAATGCTCACCGAAACTTGTCGGAGAAGAAATGTTTGAGATCATTTTTGATTGTAAGGTAACTGCACTATCGTGTGCCACCACATTCCGGGGACCAGCCACCCGCAGTTTAGCACTGATTTCCTATTTTTTTCTTTCACATGCGTTTGAGTCCATGCTGTGCCAAACCTATCGCGTTACAAAAATCTTTATAACAAAATAAAAGGTTCATGATCCTCTAGTAGGCGGAATACTGCTGACCAAAGTTGATGAATTTTCTTTAGGAATTCGCAACCGAAGCCTGATTCTCAAGGAAGCTAGGCGGTGTGCTTGAAAACCGCAATCTATTGGGGTCCGGTGTGCATACCATTGAATCAGAATT